TTATGTGAAGCGATTTCAGAGTTAATGTGTCTCCATGACCTGCAAAGACTACCCTAGAAAGAAATGGTCAGCAAATGAGAGCTGGACATGTGCTGTCCTCAAAGGAGGAGGGCAGTGCTCTGCTCGCACTATTCTGGGCCTCAATCTCATTCCTGCAACTTATCATTTTTGGGCCTCGGTCAATTACTTCTCTGTATACTGGTTTTCTTATCTGTGAAATACAGACTCCTTTTACCTCAGAGGTTTGAGAACTAGAGTGTCTTAAACAGCACCCAGTATCTAGGTAGTAGTTCATAAAAGACAGGTATTATTATCAGCCAAAGCAAAATAAAGACTTGCAAAATTACTTAAAATTCTAATCTTCTTCAGAAAGGATAAAATTATATTTTAAATCATTCAAGAGTAACCCACAGTCTAATTACTGATAATTCAAAGCAGCTCCTGAATTTTTTCAAACCCCTTCTTGATTCTAGGCCCTGCTCCTGGTGCAGGAGACCTGGCGATAGTCAGGACAGACAGGAGGCCTTGCCCTGGGAGCTTTACAGTGCAGGGGTCCTGAGTGGAGCTCCCCGGCCCCTGGTACTGGCGACTGAACACAGGGATCCACCACTGAGCTATAGCCCCAGCTCCTTTGGTTTTGAGACAGGGCCCTGCTAATTGTCCAGGCTGGCCTCAATTTGTGATCCTCCTGCCTCAGTCTCCTGAGCTGCTGGGATGACGGGTGTGTGCCATCACACCTAACTTTTTGCAGAGGGGTCCTAAGCCACAGTAGAGTATTTAGAGGGGACCAGAGGCAGAAGGACTCTTGAATTTTAAATTAGAAACAAAACAATTTGTTGACTGACTGACTGACTACTGAGTAGATGCTGCATAAAGAATCAAGGATGACTTCAAGAAGACGTGGGGCCTGCCGAGTGGAGGAAGGACGTGGCACCAACAGATGCAGGGAGACGCGTCTGCCGTCTCTGTATACCTCCAGCAGGGTTGGAGGCCGGTAGTTCAGTTTTGTGCCATAAGAGGTCTGCGGTGTCTATCAGTGAAGTGGATCGGCAGATGGAAGCAGATTGGGAATCAAGGGAGAGGGTCAGGCCAGAGACTTACGGGGCCAAAAGATTTACCTAGAGAAGCCTCTGGACTTAGAAGATCTAATTCCACTTCGTGTCCACATGAGCAGCAGACCCCAGTACCGCTGCCTCACGTTTCCACACACGCCTCCACGCCCGAGCGTCCTCCTCTGGCTCAGGCTGGGAGGCCAGCCCTGGGCTTGCCGTCAGTGACAGGGGGACCTGGTGGGGCTCTCCTGCCACGGCAGGAACAGCAGCGCCATGACCGTTAGTGCTGGCAATCAGCCCCCCTTCACCCGGTGCTCACACTCAGAACTGTTCACACCTTTCCAGGAAACAAAATAAGAAAGTCCACATATTAAAACAACACTGAGTTGTTCTACCACTGAGTTCTACCACTGAGCTACAACCCGGCCTGTTGTTTGTTATTTTAAAAGAAACAACTAATGTCTAACATAAAAATTATCTTCTTTCTTACAATGGCTATAAATTTCTACCTTGTAGAATTGAAATTACTAAGAATGCAAAAGGATAGCAGTAAAATATGTTGTTTTAGACATTCACAGTTCAGAGCCTCAACTCTTGCATGGTTTTACTTGACATGTTTCATCACAAAACTTTCCCAAGTCTCTAACTTACAGACACTCCTGTAGCCTTTCTTAGGGGAGGGAATTAAAGAAAATGGGGCACTACAGAAAACAAACACACCTGATCAGACTGCAGCCAACAGCTGTTGCTGGTTTTTTTGTTTTTAATTAAAAAAATTTTTTTTAAACTTTCTTCTGAGTGGTCATTCTGAAAGTTAGCAGTTTTGTGAATCTTTGTTTCTGACAATAAGCAGCAGATAATACGGCAGTCTCAACTACCATCTGCAAAGCACAATCCAGCTAAAAATACTCCATTAAATACTTTAATTTCTGAGGACATAAAATAATAAACTGTTTTTCCAACACAGACAAAAATTCCAAAATAAATTATAACTATGTGACTACAACATAATATTAAAAGAAAAAGGCCCTTTTTTTGGTGGGTACCCAAATAATTCCTCTTCTGTATGCAGCAACACAAAAGCATTTTAGCTTTCAGGTTCTGACAAATAGTGTTGAAATAACTCCCTCCCTTCCCCGCCTCTCCTTTCTTAATTCTCCCACAGTCCAAAAAATGAGATGGAGAACCTGGTATTTATCTTCCAGCAACATCAGCACATTTCACACGAACTCTCTGATTTCCATGTGGTTCTTTATTTGCTATTTTCAAGTTAACTTGGAGCTTTACGAAAAATACTCACTCTCAGAAACAAGCCTCACATATGTGGTTTCTCTTCATCAGACCTGCCTAGAGCTAATTTGAAGGCAACTGGCAGAGGGGAATTAAACCCCTGAAGGATACCAACCAAAGGTATGGAAAAAGAGAAGTTTCTAGAATGTTTTGAGAATGAAGTACAGATTGTTAGGTATTTAATTTGAATTACAAGCTATAAATCTGTTTTTAAGTATTATTTTTAATATGAATAAATGTTGCTGGAAAACTGACTTTCCATTTTTATGAAACCTACTAGAAACTTTCTTGTAATGAACAAGTCACGAACGGAATATACGTAGGCTGTGTCTGTGTGTGATCAGTGTTCTCTATAGACTGTTTGTACATGCCGCCCTTTTGCTTGTGATTATAGTCACAGTATTTTGCTACCACAGCCACTGCAACAAAGTATGTCTTTATTCTCTACAGGACAGATTTGGGAGCACAGGCCACGAACCCTTTTATGCTTAAAGCCAAAGAGAGGGGAAAAAAATCTCAGCAATACAGTTTAAATGCCAGTAATTGGGAATACAAGGAACAGAATAGTGATCTTTATTTTGGTCACGGTTTGGTTCTAGCTGGTTAGCTCAACACAGATTGATCAATGTGTAAAGGTTATCTGACCCAAGAATGCAAGAAGCAAGTAAGCAGATCTCAGGGACCTCCTCGGCCATTTCACCACTGGAGAAACCCCAGGCTGAACATGGTCTGGGAAAGCAGTAATTTAGCACATTAGCCAGGCTCTGAAATGCTAAAATCCAAACTTGAAAACAGTTATTATAAAACTGCAAACATGTGCTTAGTTTTTCCTCTAGAATGTTAACTTTTGTTCTATTTTGGTCTCAGTTAAGGAGAGAAATTTGGAAAACAGAAAAAAAAAATGAAATGCCTAATAGCAGGCAAATCCTAAACACATGTTTAGAGATAAGTCTGACTTCAGGATTTACAATCCAACTGAAATCCTCTTCTAAAATTACAGGATTAGTATTTCAAGATTATGTACAAAAATACAACAACTCAATCCAGGCCAACTTAACATCTTAGAGAACTGATGTTTATAATCACAGAAAGTCGGGGCTCTCAGTGGGTGGGGCCCAGCACTGACTGCAGACACCTCACAGCCAGACCCAGGCTTCCTGGTGAGTCACGTGAGGCCGAGCCACTTGTCCCTTTAGGACCCTATGGAGTCCTTCTGTTTCTGTCCTAGTGGGAAAGGGAACAGGTGAGACAGTTAATGATGGTTTTTGTCCCCAGATATGGCATTTTCCCACTTTCCGTGGGGAACCCCACAAAAGGAGTTTCACAGAAGAACGTCCTGTGGCAAAGGGGAGGAGAGGTGCGGGATGAGGGGCAGGGGAGGTGCCAGGTGGGGAAGACTGCATGGCCTGGGGGGTTTTCTGGCTGAACACCCCAGTGGCATCAAATAATGATGCTCAAGATTACAGCTGAGGTTTCTTTCTGTTCCAAGATTCTACAAAAATAAGTTAAATCAGCTAAGGAAGGTTAGAGGAAAAAGCAAAAAGATCCAAATGTTTTTAAACATTAATGGTCACATCATATAAAGTAAATAAAAACACTAAGGTCAATTATAAACCATTGAGTACTTTCTGTGATTCTACTATTCTAAGCCCTTAAAATCTATCAATGTATTTAATCCTTTGACATAGGTACTAGGATTCTCCCCATTTTCCAGAAGAGGATACTGAGGTTCAGAGAAGTGATCTGGGCTGTTTGGATTCAAAAACCCAGGCTGCCTTTGGTGAAGTATCTGTGAATCACAACAGAGCCCCTGTAGCATATTATTCAAAATTAATTCTTAAAGACATAAATAATAATAAATAAAAAGCCAGTATTGCACTATTTCAGGAACCTTACATTTCTCTCAAAGACAGTAAGTACAGCCAGATGGATGGTCCCAACTAGAAGGCTCTCACGTTCTCATAAGCAAAACACTGGCTTGCCTGATCCGGATTCTGGTTCCAGGGACCTGAAGGAGAGCAAGCACCAGTCCAGTAAGGACTGTGCAATGGATGGGAGCCAGAATAAGGGAGCACTGGGCCAGGACCCTGACCCCCCACTGCTTTCCTTTCCACCTTAAATTCTGAAAACTTCTCTAGTATATATTCATAAGTCATGTTAAAGAAGTTTATTTCCTTATTATCTATACCATTCTTTTAAAAAGTCCATCATAGCCAACGTCCAAGACCTGGCGACTGTAGAGAGCAGGAATCTGAAGGGCCTGAGCTGCCTCAGGGCCCGTGTCTGCACACAGGCATCTTCAGCACACTCTGGGTTCCCAGGAGCAGACAGCTCCTTGCTTCCTGCATGCACTGAGCACGGCCACGACAGCACGCAGCAGCACAGCAGCCTTGCTGGCCTGCGGCGAGCATCCCTTCTGGCTGCAGCTCCTGGTCCACCGGGGTGGGCGCTCGCGCGGGGCATGCGGTGCCGTGCCACTCGGACACCTCTGGCTCCTGCTCCAAAGGGAAGCTTCTTGTTCACTGACTCTTTCTTCCCCTCACCCTGCCTGTCTTCTTTCCCAGCTCTGGTTCTCTGGTTCTCCACTGCCCAATTCTGACACAGCACCATCAGAACTAAGCATCGGCTCTCCAGGGGGACAGACACAGGAGCGACATCATGGCCTCGGCGGGCCTCCAGCTCATGGCTTTCATCCTGGCCCTATCTGGGGTCTCTGGAGTGCTCACGGCCACTCTGCTGCCCAACTGGAAGGTGAAGGTGGACGCGGGCACCACCATCGTGACGGCCATCGTGCAGCTGCAGGGGCTGTGGATGGACTGCACGTGGTACAGCACAGGGATGTTCAGCTGCACCCTGAAGCACTCCCTCCTGTCCCTCCCCACCCACGTGCAGGCCGCCAGGGCCACGATGGTCCTGGCCTGTGTTCTGTCTGCCTTCGGGATCTGTACTTCCACTGTAGGAATGAAATGCACGCACTTAGGAAGGGACAGAGAGACCAAGAGCCACGCGGCCTTTGCTGGAGGGGTCTGCCTTGTGTCTGCAGGGGTCTCTGGTTTGATACCAACGGTGTGGTACACGAAGAACATCATAGCCAACTTCCGGGATCTGGCGGTTCCCGAGGGCAACAAACACGAACCTGGAGGGGCTCTCTACATTGGATTCATTTCAGCGGTGCTGCTCTTTATTTCTGGCATTATTTTCTGCACTTCTTATATAAAAAAGAACCCTGAAGCGTGGCCCTCCCCGCCCAGGCAGGAGCCCTCCCCTCCCACACAGCCGGAGAACAATCCAGCCTACAGCCTGAAGGACTATGTGTAGAGAGCTGTGCCGCACCCTCGCAGCAAGGCTTCTGGCGCCGGCTAGGACTGCACTGTAGACCCAAAAACATCAGACCCGTGCTTACCTTTCTCTACCTAAAAACTACAAGTACTTTAAAGTGCCAACTAACTAGCACACACAATTATATCTGTCTCAAGATTTCTTGATATTTTTTTAATCATTGTTTTCATATTTAAGGGTTTATAATTAGAATCGATTCTGACTGCATTAAGTAAGGCAATTAACCGACAGTGTGTTGTTTTTTAAAGATGACTTACTGACACCTCTTCTAAACTGGATTCTACAAAAGAACTTAACTGACAGCTCTAACAAGCACCTTCCACGGTGTCAAGACTACCTCCCTGGGCAATGCTTGAGGAACCTGCTTGTTTTAAAGCCCCAGGGGTGAAGGGGCCTCTGGGAAGAAGAGCTGCCCAAACCGCACAGGGCCAGCCTGCCCTCCGCTCTGGTTTTCTCCTACGGAGCCACCCCCAGGCACCGGGTCTGAGCACAGCACAGCACTGCAGGCGAGCAGGATGAAGGGAACCGGCAAGCACTGCCACAGCGGAGACGCACCGGCCCCGGGCTGATGGAGCAGTAAGCCCAAGTCAAGTGATAGTCTGTCTTAAAATGCTGAGGAACTCTCTTCTGCTTCTAGCAAAAGGATCCTCAGATTAAGTTCATTTTTCCTACAACAACTGAGACTCACCGCCCCATTTAATCTACTACCATTTGAACGGTAAGTTATTCCAGGTTGTCATTTTTCCTTCAAATTTGATTCAAGTTAACAAAAGTTCTCTTATAAATGTGCAGTTTCCATTAGTTAATGGATGTGAAAAAAATTGAAACACGAAGACTGCTTTTAAAATACGGGTTAAATTAGTTTATGATATGTAATTTAAAACTTTTAATAAGAGAATATCAACTGGATTTTCCATAGCTGCAAGGACAGCACTGCATGCTGTCACTTCTAATAATTCACTTGTTAATCTATGCTACTAATGGTTCATAATACAATGGGAAAAATAAAAAAATGACTTTCTTTGTATACTGATAACTCAGCAAGTGGGAAGACGTTTTATGTCAATAAATAATTTTCATGTGTGCATGCAGAAATAGAGACTAAAATACTTTACACCTGTTCTACTTGGAACATCATCATTTTCCTCTGCAAAGGAGATTCCACTAGCTATTAATGGAACAGCAAAAATGAAAAGGTACTATTCATATAAGAACTAAGAAGGGAATCATTTCAGCAGAAGTTCAAATGATTGTTTAAAATACGTCTTTTTTTGGAACACCCCCCCCCCCCCCCCGCCGACACAATCAGTTGGCCTGTGGTACTAACAAGGTCTGTATTCCAGTGGTCAAAATGTTATTTCCTAAACAAAACAAAATGTCATATTAAAAAGAACTGACCAAAAAAAACGTTCTAAGACTGCACTGCCACCTATATGACTGTCTCACCTTGCTTAACGTGTCTGTGTTGATACAGTCTACACAGCCTATTAGAGTCCACTTCATGTATATTGATGTACTTCTGTACCTGCTTCAAAGGTGACCTTTATTCCCGTCAGGAATGTTTCTCCCCACCTGTGCCTTGGCATGATTCAGACTCTCGGAGAGATGGCACTTCAGACAAGATGAAGGCCAGATTCCTGTGCACTGCAAGTGGCCATGAGGAAGGATGACGCCACAGCCATCCCCAGCTGGGCACGTCCCTGTGCTGCGTTCTTCCCTCTGCCCAGGACCCACTGGCTCACAGTGATCTTCACCCTGCCTCCATCTCTGCCCTCAGAAATTGTCGTTTAAACGAGTTATGAGTTTACACAACAGTGTCTCCAACCAGAATGGGAGTCGAGGTACTGTTTCCATGTCTGTGTCTTCAGTGAAGTGCCACTCCCAGTGCCACATGCCAGTCCTGTCCTACATCTCTGCATACACTGGCTGGTTTGCCTCCTAACACTACCAGCTTACAGGAACTGAGGCTGGAAGAGCTTAGGTCAGTTACCTGACCTGCCCAAGGCCACCAGCTGATAAAAAGGGACATGGACTCAGCCCAAGGGACCAGACTGCAGAGTTAAATGCCTGGGTGTGAACCCTAAAAGCTACACAGTGCCCCCACCCGAGTCTCAGTCTCCTGTGAAAGTGGGGACGGAGACAGCCCCTGCACACAGAGCTGGCTGAGCACAGATGCAGTACAGCGAACGCCGCCCTACAGGTCTCACTCTAACAGCGGATTTCAGTGGGGCAAATTCAGACAGTGCCTGGAAACATTCTGGGCTCTCACAACTGAGGTGCTGCTACTGGACTCCAGTGGGAAGAGACCAGGGAGGCCACCAAATAGCCTACAGTGCAGAGGACAAACCCTGTGACACAGAATCATCTAGCTCCAAATGCAGGCAGTTCTGAGGTTGAAAAACTTTGGTCTAATATATTGAATACATTTAAATATGTGTTTTTTCTTTGCCTAAAAAGTTACCAAAATAAAAGGTAAAATGGTGAAAACACCCCCCCCTGAATACCATGCTAGGATTTACCTGTGGAACGCGTATGCATGTATATATGCATGTATATATGTAGTTTGTCCTGAAGGGTTCTTATGCTGAAGCTTGGTCTCCAGGGAGGTGGTGCACCTTTAAAAGGTGGAGCCTAGTGGAAAGTAATTAAGTCTTGGGGGTTCCTCCCTTAAGAGTAAATTAACGCTGGTCTCACAGAGTGGGTTAGTTCTCACGAGAGTGACGTAGCAGAGAGTGAGACCACCCTACACGCTCGCCTCCTCTACACACAGTTAAATGATAAACACTTAAATTATGCCAGGAGAACTGGGAAGACCATTAGGACGGTGTGAGAGAAACGTAGGTGATGTCAGCGTTGGTGACAACCAATCAACTACGAGAGTAAAGTAACTGGCGGTGGGGTGGCACTTAAAATGACCTCTAATCTAGGCTTGCGTGACCTGGGCACATGAAGAGGTCACGAGTCAGTGCTATGGTTTGGCTCCTGGACACTCCTCTAAGGTCCAGGTGTGAGGGTTTGGTCCCTGGGGGCTGCTATCAGGAGGCGGTGGGACTTCAGGAGGGGGACATGGGAGGTGCGCTTAGGACACTGGTTTGGTCTGCCATGTACACCTGCTATGATATGCTGCCTCCTCAGAGTCTCAAAGTAATGCCACCTTGGTCTTGAACTGGAAAACTGTGAGCCGAAGCAAACCTTTTCTCTTCAAAAGTTAATTATTTCAAGTACTTCATGAATTTCATGCAGTGATGGAAGATGGATTAATATAGTCAGCATACTGACTATGAGGAGGAGGAGGCCGGGGCAAACAGAGGTGATTTCAGTGTGTGACATGGACAGTGTTTCCTCAGGATGTCTCCTTCATCACTGTGTCGGTAGCTCTACACAGTCTATACTCTATACTCAGCTGACACTAACTTCATTTTCTTTTTTTCCCTTCTCCCCAATCATCTCATTTATATAGAGAGAAATATTATATGAAAGAGATAAATTATATGGTTATCTCAATGGATACAGGCAGAGCACTTGGTACAATTCAGTATCTACTCTAAGGATTTATTTTTAAGGATTTAAATCATAGCCCATAATTCTCCAAAACACTGTTGCATACATTGTGATTATCTCTAAGAAATTTTGCTTTCATCTCATTTCATTTTATACATATAGAGCCACGTGCTTTCAAAAAGAATTTGAGGCAACTTAATAATAACTGCAGCATGATAAATATAAAACACTGAGAAAAGACTAAAGTTACAAAGAAAGAGAAAAAAATGATCTGAAATAATCCTGGTTGAAGCATGCTAAAGTACTTGAATATAAAACTTAGTTTAAAATTTCTACAAAACCTATGCAAATAAGGCCATGAAAGTTTCTTAGGGCACTGTCTGTTGGTAGGAACCTCCACAGGATACTGCCCGAGTTCTGTTCACTGGGCTGGAGCACCATCCCCAGCTCCCCCCAGTGCTCACAGATCTGGAGCCACCTCTGCTCAGGGGGCACTGCACCCCCACTTGCAGCATGTGGCCCCCAGCCCAGGCCTAACTGCACAGGAGACAACTCTGGGGGGCAATCTGTGCTCAAGAGGGCTCCTCTCCCCCATGGGAGCAGTGAAGAATTATTTCAAAATCTGAATTCCGACCGTTTGGTTGTCTTCCTTTATCATAATATATCTTACGTCCTCCTAGATAAGTGTTTTCCTAGATCACAAATGAATCCCCTGCATGTAATATTTACAACATAATGAAAAACATGTGAGAGAAGTGCCATATGTTTAATTTGAAACAAACAAGAATTCAGTAAAAAGAGAATCAAAGACATAGCTAGTTTTTCCCAAAAACATAAATATTTTCTTGAGGGTTAATCACAAAGGAAAGAAATTTTAAAAACAAACTATATACCTACTAATAATTTCTAAACACCATAAAACATTTGGGTAACTAAAACTAAGAGAAACTTTCCAACAAAATATTCTACATCCATCCTGAAAAATCCTTGGTAAAATTTCGTCTGTCTAGGATTCTGGTTTATGATAATAACCGTAACTACAAAAGCCTTTAAGCCAAGATTTTGGTTTCATCAAAGAATGGGTTTTAGGCCACTCAGAATGCTTGAAGCACACACGTGACAAGAAGAAAGCCAAGTATTTGGTTACTGGACCCTTTCATCATAATGGCCACCTGCCGCAGGAGAGAAAGCCCCTGAGAGCACCAGGGTGCTGATCTGATGATACTCTACCCCCTCTCGTCTTATTCTGGAATAAGTCATCTACAGCGTCTTTGCAATCCTGCGGTGCAGAGGTGGAGGTGGGATGGCTAGTGAGTCTCCTGAGTTTGACTCAGGGAAAGCTGATGGGTCTGCTTCAGAAGTGGAAGATGGACTAGCTTCTTAGGCACCTGAAAGCTCAGCTAACTGTGGTGACGTCAAGAGGAAATGCAAAGGTGGCAGCAAAGCACATGGACACACTCCAAGATCCACAAATCGTT